TGATTTTATACATCTTTATTACTCGTCTTTGTTAGTCGTTTGTTATTTTCGTTCTAACTTCTATCGTTGTCATAAGTATCTCGTGAGCTAGCGTGCTTTTATCGTAAAATAAGATTTTTATTATAAATTGTGTATTAAAAATGGATAAGGAAGCTTCTAATACTTTACTAAGCTACAACTCTTTCGATAAGAAATTGTGCATTATATGCCAAAAACGAAATAAAAAATTTTCTACAACTACTACTGGAAATGGATGTGAAAAGATAAAATTGGTAGCTGAAAATAAGAAAGATGATGTTTATAATCGATTGCAGCTCTTACAAAACAATGGTAATTAACTTAAGTTATACATGTCAAAATTGTCTATAAATCAATGAATTTCAAAAGTGAATATAAAAAACTGTATGATAACAGAATAATTGACGTCGTAAGAGTCTTCCTTGTATAAATTTATCAATATCTGCATTGACGTTTTTGAACAATATTTAGCTATTATTTGTTTCATCACAAGCTTTAGAAATTTTTTTTGGAATGAATTTATAGTTATAAATAAGTATACTTTATTTTATTGTTCATAAATTCAGAAACTATATTTCCTATAAAAAAATTATTTAACTGTATTATTCTTTGATTAACTTTTGTACGCTGATAGAAAAAATTATTGTCATTTTTTAATAAATTATTCCATATCTAGAAGTATATTCTCTTCCATTCTATAAATTACATAGAGTATACGTTCTGTGCTTACAAAAACAATTATGTATGACTTTCAAGTCTATTTTATTTCATTATTAAAATTTACAGTGAATATATTTAATTTCAAGAACTATTTACTCATAATCGATAAATAATTGTACAATCATTGAATATTTTTTACTTTAATCGCTTATGTCTTTTATTTTCACGGTGTCTCTTTTGATTTTTTCATAAAACATCACTTTATATGAGATGCTTTACTTTGCAGATACTTTTGTATACCATGTTAATAACACGTGTTATAAACGATATACGAAGCAGAGTATTATTCAGAATAAAACTACAAAATGTCCTAACCTTGAAGATGAAGAATCTTCTGTTAATGCTAATGATAATGAATCAAGATTTTCGGGTAATTCACCAACACTTAAAGTAAAACCTCCTTTTGTAACTCGGCGCTCTATTCGAATTCGTCAATGTAAAGAGCAGAAATCTCCTGCTGAACATGTTTGCGTCATTTGTGGCCATGTAAAATCCGGAAAAAATGGAGTTAAGAAATTTAAATTAATAAAATTACAACGAGCTCAACAATTTTTAGATGCTATTAATTTTTTCAAGGATGAAGTTTTTAATCGAATTAATTATTTATCTACAGCACAGAATATTATTAATGCTGGTTTATTTTTTCATAGTAACTGCTTACGTTCTTATGAAAAGCATTTAGTCAATCACAGGAAAAGAATGTTATTGAAAATGATCTAATAGATTTATTACATGATGATGTTGAAGATATTCGTACGGATCATGATATCTATGAATTCAGTGATGAAACTTTATCCACTCCACAAGAAAATTCAAAAAATCATGACAGTAATGATCAAGAAGCTAGTAAAATTGAATCTATTTCCAAGTTTATAGTTAACATTCTTCCTCGTATAAGATGTGGAGAAGCATTCTCCCTTTCTGACATTTCAAATGGCATTAATAATGCAATGCATGTACAAAATTTAGTGTCTAATCGAGATATAAAAGCATTTTTCTTAAAGAACTATGAACGAGATGTTTCTTTTTTTTCACCCACAAGAAGTTAACAAATCAGCTGTAGTTTACAGTTCGAACATTTCTGCTTGTGACATTATAGGGGCATTACGTGTTGATACATGTATTAAGAAAACTGCTGAAATACTCAGAAATTCTATAAAAAAAGTTGACTTTGGACTCGAAGATAGGTTTTGTGATTGTAGTGAATTAGAAAAAGCTTGGAAAAACATCCTAATTCCACCCCCAGTACTCTCATTTCTTTCAATACTATTTAATGTTGATGAAAAAGAGTTGGCAAAAGAAACTAACTGCAATGATTATGTTGATGATGATGATGATGATGATGATGATAATGATGATTCACTGAGAGTTAATGAAACTAACAAGATAAAAAATTTACGTGCTAAGTCTATTTTTCAAATGTTATGTTTTATAATTAGTAATGGAAAACAAAAAGTTCCATTTCAAATTATGACAGGATTATCTATTTTTAGTGCATGTAAGAGTAAATCTTTAATAAGTTCTTTTAATCGGTCTGGTGTGAGTATATCTTATAACATGGTACGTAAACATCGTGAGCAGTTAGCAAAGTACACCATCGTATCAAGCCAGGGAAAAATTGCATTACCAACGCATTTTAATCGAAGTCATTTTACTACTGGAGCATTTGATAACTTCGACCACAACGAAGATACTCTCTCAGGAATGAATGCAAGTCATGATACGGTGGCAGTATTATTCCAAGAGAAACCAAAAGTTATGCCAGGGAAACCATGCATTTCAAAGTCAGGTATTAATAATCTTGATTCTACATATTTGGATGAATTGAACTGTCAAGCTCTTAAACCTTTTACGAAGCCAACAGAATCAATATCACTGTCACCATATTATGCAAAAAACTCTACAATGAATGTAAATTTTAAATCATCTCCTATAGATATGGCATGGGTTATTACAAGAGCATTAGGATCAGAAGAATTTTTTCTAACAAAAACAGTGCAAAAAAAAGTAGCTCAACGTATACCATCCTGGGCTGCTTTTAATTCTTGTTTATTGGAAGACAGCCGATCAATTCAAATCGTTGGGTACTTACCAATATTACCTTATCCGCCAACACAGTATGACACTGTATATTCACAGATGTGCAATTTTAATGAAATTTTACAGCAATTAGATCAACACTATATTCCAGTAGCATGTGACGAAGGAATTTACCATATTGCTAAGCATATTCAATTGTCCAGACCAGATAATTTTTCAAAAATAATTTTATTTCTCGGAAATTTTCACATCATTAAAGTTTTGTTGTCATGCATTGGTAAATATTTACGTGGAAGTGGTGCAGAACATGTATTTATTGAAACTAGCATTTTTGGAGTAGGTGTTACAGACCAAGTATTAAGTGGAACCCATTACTCTCGATCAGTGAAAGGATTTACAGCACTATCAGAGGCTTTACAGCGACTCCAATTGGAAGCTTTCTTTGTAATACACAGTACTGATCAATATGTAGCTGAGTTGTGTACATTAGATGTTTTACTTGATAATTTTAGTGAAAAAAATTTTGTTGAGGCTTCTAAAAATTTAGAAACATTTAAATCCAGTTCCCACAAAATGATTAAAGATATCGAAAGATTTGTAAAAAACAGATGCCAGGAATCACCACTTTTTCATTATTGGACAAATGTTTTGAAGTTTGTAACTTTAGCGCAAAACTTAATTCGTGCTGATCGCACAGGGAATTGGTTCCTACATCTTGAAACTATTCGTAATATCCAAGGTATTTTCCACATTATGGACAAAACTAATTATGCAAGATGGTGCTCCGTATATCTCGAAGATATGATTATGTTAAAAGAAAAAGCACCAGAGGTGTATAATCAATTCTGCAAAGGTCGTGCAACCGTTAAATTGTCAAATACTCCTTTTTCATCAGTTAGCACAGATCAAGCATTAGAAATGACGTATAACAGAGGTTCGAAAAGTGTATGTGGCGTAATTGGAGTCACACAAAAGAAAAAAGCTGTCGCAACATGGGCTATAACGTACCATGAGGAACTAGCGATTTATAACTTCTATCGTAAGATAATGTCTGTAAAAAATGATAACGAAGAATACAAATTTCACCACGATTTTTCTAATGCTGCTATTCAACAATCAGAAGATATAGTCGAAAAAATAAAAAGTTATATTGAGTCTCATCTAAATCCTTTCCGAAGTGGTGTTGAACCACTTCGCAATATAATTACAGAACAACTTGTAGATGCGACTACATGCCATCAATTGTTAAATATTTTTGAGCTTGGTGAAAAATTATATGAAAAATTCCGAGATGAAAGATTTCGTAACCAATCAAAAAGTTTATCAGACGTAATTACAAGAACAAATTTGCCATCTTTCAAAAATCAAACAAACCAACAACTATCAACATTGAAAAAAATTAAAAAAAATAAATATGAGTCTCAAAGGATAATAGAATTAGCAAAAGAACGAAAGTATTGTTTAAAAAAATTATTTTCTTTTGAACTGGAATCGTCGAACATACTATTTGAAAATGATGATAATCTTAAAATAGATACAACCAGGAATGCACTGTTAGACATAGAAAAAATATATATTACAAATTTCAATTTACCTTCATTGTCTAAAGATGTTGAAGTTGGAATTATTATTGAAATGAGTGAAATTTGTCGGAAAGTGAAGTGGAAAGAAAATGAGACATTTGGTGACTTTGCTAGATCTTTCTGCGATTATATTACAATACTTATAAATAATTTGTGTGTTCAACGAATTGATTTTATTAATAAAAATAACTTTCTAACTTCACCATCTGTATTTTACCAACTCCAAAATATTACAAATGCTGAATCAATTGAATTATATAGAATTGATGATGATATACCTTTACCACAACAGCCAACAAAATTTTGGTCATCAATAAAAAATAAAATACTGTTGCAAAAATATCTCCTATCATTTATAAATTTTCGGAGCATGAGTTACTGGCCAGAAGTAAAAATTGTATTCAGTGAAAGTGATGAAAGCACATGTATCTCTAACGATTATATGCGATCACCAGAATCCTTAAGACAATTACAATGTCAGAATATTGAAAATATTGATATGCAGATAATTTTTCATATGAAACATGCTATTATCAATCAAATAAGAAACATAATGCTCGTAGTTTCGGATACAAATATAATCGTTTTGTTATTGTATTATTGGAATCAGTTTAGCGAACTTGGTCTGAAGGTACAGTTTCCACTATTATTTTGTAAATTAGGAGTTATTCCTGTAAAAGTGTTAATTATATCATTTTCGTAGACGCTGTGGATAAAAATTGATCACAAAAAAAATGCAAGAACCATACCAGTACATGTTATTGCTGAGGTTATGGGCACAGAGTTATGTTTCGTTATGCCAGCTATGGAAAATTTAATAGGCTCAAATCTGACAAGTGTCATTGGATCATTAAATGCGGGATTAAAAGCATCTCCCACCAATTATTTACAAACCTTTGGCAGTGGTAATTGAACTATTTTTAAATATATTTAAACATTATGATTATGATTATTATAATAAAAATCATAAGATAAAACTTTTTACTGATTGTAGTCCTATGTGCTAGGAATACTATATGCTAAGTAATTTCTGATATTTAAAAAAAATTTTTTTTAATAATAAAATGTGAAGTTTTTTTCCTTGCAGGATTAAATTATAGACTTATAAGTTAATGAAGTTTTTTTTACAGCAATGAGTGCGGCTGCCATTGAGTCAAATATAACTGCCGCAGAAAAATATTTAATAAATGTTTGGAAAAAGAATACCCACTGTCAAACTTTTGATGAACAGCGGTATTGGAGTTATCATCATAGTAACACCATGAACGTCAATGAATTGCCACCTACAAGTGCTTCCATGAGACTGCACATCTTACGTGCGATGTATATAACATACATTCAAACACATTTCATGGATCAACACGAAAATCTAGATCCTAATTTATTCGGATACACTCAAGGTGATGACAATTGTACGCCTCAAAAAATACATACAATTATACCTCCAGTCGATGATTTGCCACCGAATTGCACGTGTAAAAATTGCAACGTTAAAAGTTGCTCATGTTCGAAAGCAGAAGTGCCATGCATTTCATTTTGTCATTGCAAAAAAAATGACAAATGTAATAATAAGTTTTTCTGAAACTATAGTTTTAGAATTAAAACTATAGACATTCTATAAAATGACTTAGATATTTTTATACATCATTGTTTAATCATTTTAAAATAAAATAATAATTCATCATTATTCATCACGTTTATTTAAATATGAATGTATTTATAAATAAATAAAAATTAATATTTTCTAAATTTTAACATAATTTTTATTGAAAATCATGAACGAACGCACATACTGCGAGTTTGACAGTATTAGTATTAGTAATGCTGTTCGGATTACTAATACGCGCACACATGCAGGGAGTCGGAGATTGCCGAGCGCTTCTCTGGCAGCTTCATCGAGTTAGTACGGCTCGTATATCTATATAATCGTATGACGTCACGTCGTGCGCTTGAATATCATCACTTTTAAAATGGAAAAAAAAACCATTTAAATCAAAAATGAAGATGAACTTTTTATATAGGCACGTTAGGCATGTTTTAATAAATACTATGACACCAAAAAAATTAAAAAAACATTATCTATATTGCTACAAATTGTATTTAAACTTTCCAAAAGTCGTTGATTTTTAAAGTTAAAAAAATTTTTTTCTCAAAAACTATTGGTCCTATCAAAAAAAGAGTAATGACCTTTTCGATTTAAAAATGTATTAATTATATAAAAAAAAATACGCCAGCTCTCTAAAATCACTTTTAACTATTGTTTATTAACAAATTGTTAATAACAATTAAACGGCCAGTTTCTCAGGAAATCACCCGACATATTCGAATTCAGGGGGTCGAAATCTATGAAAATCCGTTGAAAAATTTAGGCGACCTTTTCATGTATACGGCCACCCCCTCAGAACCCGGACTAA